TCCTTCTATTTTTCTCCACCATTTCACACTGATACAAAGAATGTGTAAGTTACCTGATTTGATGCACATGTTAGCATCCCCATTAAAAGTCTTGTTTCGTAACTGAACGTTATCTGGGTTGTGCTCCCCTCGCCTCCATGGATGGTTTGAGCAGGAAAAGTAGCCACACCTTTAGTCGAAAGAACCGCATTAGCCTCGTGGAATAGTTGGTCTCGAATCTCCTTCCTGCGCAAGGAACTTATGGTAGTTTCAGGGCTTGCGCGCAAACCTGAACCTGCCAGGATCAGGAGGGTTAGAGCACTAAAGTATTTCAGGCTTTTAAGACATTATTTAGGCTGCAGTCCTGTGGCTGCTGTCACATCCGTTTTCTGGGTTCCTTCCAGATATTCTCCTCAATATATGTTAAGCCCCTCACAAGCTTGGCAAGTTATGCAAATGCAGATCAGCAGATCTTCTGTTGACCTGGTTTAGCATGCTGTGTGAACCCTACCTATAAAGGCTTATCGGGGGGGGGGGTAAGTCCTCTTGAACTTAGGTGGGAGGATTTACTCCTGACGAGACAGGTGAGCCCACACACTTGCATGGGGTCAAATCCCATGGAGGACTTATTGTTGGTTTGTGTGTATTTGGGTAGGCTATTTTTGTATGCTTCTCAGGACTTCCTTTGGAAGAAAGAGTACTTTAGATATATAAATATTATTATTTATTAATGTTATTAACAGGGGAGTCTGCTAGGTGTGGTCAGAAAAGTCAGATGGTGGCCACAATAATGCAATTGAAGCTTCCCCCGTGCGACAGATATAAAAAACAGGAAGAGCTTTGATTGTACCATCTTGACTTTTTTGACGATGACGATGACGATGATGATGATGATGATGATGATGATGATGATCCTGAATCAATCCACTGCAGGATGAGAGTTCTGGGCTGTAACTGGTGATAGATGCGTTTTGACTTCCCAGTCCTGGGAGAGAGGAAGACCAACTCACTCACTGTGTCTCAGGAAGGACGAGACCCTGGGTCTTCCTGCTCCTGGTTGAACATCTGAACCACCGTCCCACGCCAGCTCCCCTAAATTTCCCTCTCTGGAGATAGAACAGATCAAAAAAATTACGATTAACAGTAGAGATAAATTTCTGTATTGGGTAGTAATATGTAGGGATGCCCTGAGAGATTGTTCCTTTGTCTGGTTTTAACACAGCTAAGGCAAAATAGCACAAAGTTATCTTAAATAACTTGATTTAGGTCTGGGTTGGCAACAGAGGTGGGCAAGACCTGGAATAATCCTACAGATAATTCTGTTGACTGAACTGTATTGGAGATTGAAAAGGGACTGCAACTAATCCAGACACGCACAGTGTCCTTCTACCAAGTTAAGTAGTTTTTATTGAGAAGGAAGCAAGAAGAAATCAAAGCTTCTCCTGGGAGAATCCTGAGAAGTGAAAATGAAGATGAGCTGATGAGCATCAGCACTCATCGTCTGCAATGCTTGCATTCCTTCCAGAAGATCCCCTGATATATATTTGCAGCAACTGCAAGTTTGCAGCACTCCGCGAAGAAAAAGTTGGAGGAGGAGAGCAGTGAGTGGCCACTGATGAGAGCGGCTGCTGCAAGAGGAGATGGCAAAGGCGGCACCGCTCCTTGAGGAAGACAATTAGGAGAGCCCCCTGGGTGTGTGTGGCGGCCCAAAGCAGGAAGCGTGGGGCTGCTGGCACCCAGGGACAACCTCTAGGCAGGCCCTCGATGAAGAAAGAGCACCGAGCCTCAAGAGAATCAACAGAGACCCTGCGGAATAGGGGGTGGGATGGTGGATTCCTGTGGCCGCCAATCTGTCGATTTGATGGATAGCAAAGAAAGAGAACAACAAGGGAGATGGAGCAACTCATTGTTTAGTTTAGGATCAACAAAGGAAGGTTAGATATTAATGAGGATTAAGTATCCAGCAGGCACTGGGCACCTGCTGAGACAAAAGCGGGGGAAATAATGACTGGATTGGGGCTAGAGCTGGAAGTTTGTTATCTCACAACTTGCCAGAGTAAATAGGAAGAGATAGCTTGTTTGAGCAGCCTCTCTTCCAGGGGTTAATTGAAAAATGCAGGTCAGTCCCAGGACGATCCTTTAAGGGCTGCCGGGCTGCAGCTGTGCCCCCCAAGAAGACGAAGAGGAGCGTCTTGGGGACTGGAGGCCCAGCGTGACGGAGAATTGAAACAAACGTGTGCTGATTTAAGAAGTGTGCTGACTGAACCAGGGATGTGGCAGAACGGCTTCCGAGACTTACCACATCCCCTGACGATTATTCCCTTACCCAGGAATTCTTATGGGGGACGGCCAGATGCACAACGTCACGGACTTTGGAGAACTAGGAAAGAAGCTCAAGAATTGTGGTTCAGGGGGTGTCCTCATCCCTCCTTCCAGTCCACGGAGACAATGGAAGGGAAATCAGCGACGGGCTAAGTAAGTTGTGTTGATGGGAGAGATTCGGTTTCCGTGACCATGGTCTGAGCTGTGCCTGAAGTGGACTGCTAACTAAGGCTTGCCCCTCAAGGCCTGGTAAAATGTGCTTGGCCAGAGCATAAGGCTCTCCGCTGCATCCCCCGGATGCTGGAGGTAAGGCCCCGGAGGAACCCCCTCAAATAAAAGTTGTTCATTGCAGAATTAGGCGGGAATATTGGTCTCCTATTGAAATACCCAGTGAAAAATCTGAACAAACGTTGCACTAATGCTCAGAGTACCGCTGATTAAGCAAAATGAGATTGAACTCAGGAAGGCAGATGTAATTGCATGCATGTAACGGAGACTCGGCGGGATGATTCGCACGATTGGAGCACAGCAGTTGAAAGATAAGAAAAGATAGCATCTGTTGGAAAGGACCCAGCCTAGTATGTGAATCTGGCCGTGTGCTACGTTGCACTGCAGATCAGTGGTTCTCAACTGGGGGTATGGATGCTGTAGGGGGGACTGGGAAGCAGCCAGTCCAATTCTGCCCCGGTCCAGAGGGAGATCCGAACGCCCATCCACCCACTGCTCTTTTCTCCGGCGGGCTTTGCGGGAGGGAAAAACCCAATGAATGTGTTTCCTTGCTTCTCAGCCGGATGAAGGAAGGCATTCTGGGAAGGCAACACATGCCAAATACCAGAGACACAGGAATTTTTTTTAGCTCTCTTTCTTTCAAAGCTTTCTTTTCTAAAAAGCACATGCAGTTCTGCCATTTGTGGAGAGATTGTTCTAAGCAGAGAATGCAATTTCAAAGAGAGATTTCTGTGCAAAGGGGCGGCTTGGTGATGCAGCTACCTGACCGCTAACAGACTCTCGGAAGTTGAGGGAGAAGCGTCAGGGATGCCCATCCTGGTCTTTCTCACAAGATAAACTGTCTAACAGGTCAGTTTAGGGGGGGAAAGGCCACAAGAGCACTGGAAATATGAGATCGGAAACGAGGTGGCACCACCGTGGAGGAACACGGATCCTGGTTGGATGAGACCAGCGATGGTCTGTTTGCAAGAATCGTTCTCAATTGATCTCAGGGCTTGGGGGTCACCAAAATCCATCAAATCCCTCCTTAGTATAGATTTTACCATAATCAACAGAGTTCCTTTTTCACCTGATTTTTCAAAGCTGAAGCTCCAGAGAAATGGAAGGTCTTTGCTAGGAACCAGAATGAAAACCAAGGGGCTTCAGACTTTCCTTCTCCCACAGGAAGACCACCTCTGTGATTCACCTGGATTTGCACCTTTTCATAGGTATTGACTGGCATGCATTGGGCAGGCAGCCTGGCCCTGGACAAGCTGTGTTGGCAATGGCTGGCCGTTAGGAAGCCAAGTACCCCCAGCCCCATTTTCCTCAAAATGAGTGGCCTCATTTTCATTCTCCTGTTTTCTCACCTTCATCCCGCCTGTTGCGGCTGCTCAGGCAACTGAATAGCAAAGGCCAGAAGGAGGATGGTGCTGTTGTCGAGCTCTGGGGTGTAAATGACAGGAAAAGAAGAGGGGGGGGGGGGGGGGGGGGGCGGCTCTGGGGAAGGCCCTCAGGATCAGTGGGACCGTATTAACTTGGACAGGTTTAAGCAGCAACGAAAAGACATGGCACTTCCAGAAAACACTTTTGTTAGAAATGTGGGAGAGAGGAAGAAAATTAAAATTTGGATCAATACAGAGGTCTGTTTCCAGCCAAAAGCTTTATTTTATTTTATTAAAAAATGACACATTCACAATAACATTTATAAATTCCTTGGAAATATTCACCACACAAGAAGCCAAGAGCTTACATACATAAGTCAAATATGGAATACTTTGCACTCACACAGAAAGGCTGGAGAGCCTGTTGGACGAGAGGAAGTCAATGGGCCAAACAAGGATTTTTAAAAAAATTATTCAAAGAACAGAGCGGGATGGATATGAGGTACAGACTGTTGAGGGCCGAGGGTCGGTTTCGACAAGCGGCCGAGCCTCCCTCTCGTAACTGTGCCCCCCGCCCCGTCCTGCCCTTTTTCCAGCAGCCCTCCCAATCAAACCGCACACAAACACATCCAGGAAGATCACAATTTTTGCGGGGTATCCCTTGTCTGCGTTCCAGTCTTAACCTCACGCTTGTAGCCGGCCAGTCCTAGAGAGTCAGCGGAGGAGGAGGGGGGGGGGGCGCGGGACTGTTGTTGGCCCCGGCCCCGGGGGAGGCTCCTTGGCCAGGCCCGGGCTGGACGGCGGCTGGGTGGAGGGCCGGAGATTCTG